TAATTCAAGAACAGGCTATCACACCAGCATGATTTACACTTGACAACTGGTATATACTGAACAATAAGTATCACTAATGTTGAAAAAGTGGAATCCGAAACGCTGTTACTGGCTGAAAGACAGAGTCAACTCGTGCAACATCCAAATGGACGGCGATGAAGGATTATTTTTTAATACCCAAAGGGACACCAACAAATGTGATAACGACTCAATAATGCCTAGTTATTTTTTGCCTGTTAAACCTTTTATAAGTGATTACTTTAATCCGAAATTATATTTATATTATTATTGAATATAAAAAAGCTATAAAAAATACTATCGATTACCTCTACGGCTTAAAATTAAAATGTTTTTTTTTGTAACAGTTATTTCTTTCTGCAATAGAAACGTTTATGCTAACAAGACAATACACATATGAGGCACACAACATTATATTAGAGTATCTTAAATTAATGGTACTTTTTTTCAATTTTTTTATGCAAAAAGTTTCGCAAAATATTCCATAATTTTAAATAAAGGTAATAACCGTTTGAAATACGTACAATTAATGATTAGCATAAATTTAATAAGTGTATATGTAACCCGTGCAATTCTTCAATATTGCAATAATTCGAACTTTTTGTTAGGCATGTAAATTCATATATTTTTCTTTTGATACCAAATTAAGTTTTGCACTATATTCCTATCATGCTTTTTAAAAATTATTTATTATATATATGATCATCATATTTATTAAGTACATGGTTAGACAAGTTTTTAAGGTATTTTTCTTGTCTTAAAACTTCTTTACTTTATCGCATATAAATAGAGTGGATATTATTTCACTGATTGAAAAAAAAATGTTTGTAAAAGGTATTATGTGCTAAATTTTCATATATACATTGGAGAAAATCGATCATGGTGATAATGGATATGGTAATTTTGGCAGAAAATAGAAACTCGCCACTACCACATTCATTATAGTCAATTTAAAAAAAATAGTCGTGGGCAGGCATTCTGAGCAGGTAGTGTAACTCCTATAAAAGGAAATAAATACTTTACCAACTATAAGCAAAGTGAATACCTTTATCCAAAAATTTAACCATTGATAATTATTATTAACGGTTATACTATTTTCTATCAATGGTAATACTATGTAAGGACGGAGCATAGCTAGGTCAATATAGTAACGGGTCTGAAGAAATAAAATCACAATTATTATATGCGTTGTAAAGGTAACAATGGGAAAAATCGGTTAACGTTGTCTTTTTTTTTATCAAAATTCAGATTGTATTTTTTTAATTATAGCAAAAATTTAAAGTATACTATCAATTTATAATATAAATACTAAAGTTTTCAAAACTAGAAAATAAGTTAACTTCGAAAAAAAATTTTAAATAAAGATCATATTTTGTTTAAATACATACATCCCGTAGGTAATGCGATTGCGATTCATTTTTTCCTAACATCCTGTTCGAATATAAGGTTTCCTCCATTTATCTCATATTGAACTATCCTTATAATAATATATATTTTAACAAACGACGGAAAGGAAAATAAAAACACTAGACATGATTAATGGTTATAATGGACAAACAAAATTAATAAATTACTTCCGTTTTTAGTGGAGGAACAAAATTAATCATTTTACAAACACTTCAACAATTCCACCTACAAAACGGCCAATAAAAAATAATGATTACATTGTTTTATCACTAATAAATTATAATGCTTACAAAATTACGATGGTTGTTTTTTAATATATTCTTTGAATTGAGATAAGAATTCAGAGATCAGTTACACGGTTAAGCAATTTTTAATTAGCACACAATGGTAAAGTTTTGGCTTGATAATGTAGTCTTAACGACTTCTAGGTAGAAGATATTATATATAATTGAAGAAAAATAACTATAAGAAATGAGTATTGATACAACAAAAGTGTTTTTAAAACTTAGAGGGCTATAAAAACTAGACGTGCTAAACAATATCTATGATCAGATTAAGATTCAGCGAAAAAATCTAAAAAAAAAATTATGTAGATATTTTTGTTCTTGTTTTAAAATCGTATTGTTATGCTATTAGAATTTTAAGATTAGTGAAAAAAATTGCGTTAGCTTCTCTAAATTCGTTAACTCACTCCTTGACTAAATTTTTAAATGCCCAGAACTCAAAAGTACTTTTCAAAATATGTTATCGAGTAACAATTATTTTTATTATGAGACTCTAATTAAATATTTTAGTTAGTATATAAAAATATACCTAGTGTATAAGTTAGATGAGGTTTATCCTCTACAACTATCCTATAACGTTTTAATATTTGTTGACAATTTGAAATAATAAATACTGTAGAACAATAAATAAACAATAAATCTCTGAAGTTTCATACATTTTATACTTAACTTTCCACGGCCAACCTAATAAGTACTATTTCTTTATTTTTGTTTATATTTAAGAAATTGACCCTTGTAACGTTAAATATTTTGATACATTTTTAAAAAATTAAGTCTCACGATTCACTTTGTGTAGTAGTTTTAATTTTTCTATTAGACACAGCCAACTAAAATCACAATAAATTGTTAAATATCAACAGATAACAATAATTACTAAAAAATTCTGTATAAAAACAATTTTCCATTAAATATCGGTAGTTCTAACCAGAAGAATTACCCACGCAAGTTAAGAACTAATTCAACTATTTTTCAAAAATTATAATGTCATAATTTTAAATTAAAAAATGTGTAAATTAAACCGAATGATATTCTTGATTGTGAAAGGGAATGGCTTTATATTTTTGGTCTTCTTAATTACTTCTCATAAATTCTAATCTATAGACTTGCGACTTTTTTATCCAAGATAATTGCTTCGTTATTTTATCATCATTGAATTCTTAAGACTTTTTATATACTAATTTATTAGTAAAAAAAATATATCTATATATATATATATATATATATATATATATAATTTGTACGAAGCTTATTATTATGCATATTATGATATATAACTATAAACAGATAAACTGCATACATTTGAATATTGGCCGTTTTATAGGCGTAACTGTTTAAATTTGTGACGTTCAATACTCATTCTTCATGCTTCTTTTCCTTCAATAGTTATCGTTAAACTACATTATTAGGTCGTCCAACGGTGTATATATAAAGCCATCAATTTTCGTCGAACATTATTCTTATACCTGACGTCTGACAGGAACCGAAGTTGTGTTATAACTTTTTATTTGTCCATTATAATCATGTCTAGAGTTTTAATTTTCTTAACCGTTTTTTGGTTCTGTACATTTTATGAGACCCAGCAATTAAACCAAACGTATATAAACCCGTATCTGACCGAATACATTGAGGAGTTAAACAAGAGACCAAAAAGAACATGGACGGTAAAAGTTAAAATATGTAACATATTATAGTAAATTTCCCTAACCTCCTTATCATTGTTTAAGTAAATCAATAAATAATTTATGATGGTAAATTGATTAACATTAGTCTAACGATATTGGGTTTACATTTTTAATTTTACCAATATATTGTAATGGTAACCCGTATACATTATTAAATAGTATTATATTAATTTTTTATGAAATAAATAAAAAATTATGTCTGTCTTTGATCGAACTTCATACCATAAATCCGATTATTATCTGTATTTTAAAATAACTAAAAAACTAGCTTGTTGTGTTACCTAACTTGTTGTCGCATTATTTGCAGGCTGGGAGAAATTTCCCCGTCAATACTACAGAGGAGAAATTAATCAATATGATGGGGGTATTGCTCGACAAAGTTTGCAGTTATCCAGCAAGTCCTGATTACGAATATGGCTATAGACGTACAATGAATGAAACATACGAACCGTCATATACAGAAAAACCCGATTATGGATATGGATATAACAGTACAATGAATAAAACTTCCAAATGGTCTAATATAATAGGACCCTGTTTTAGAGATAACAATACAATGATTGAAAATTTCAAACCGTCAGCAAGACCTTGTCATAACCAACATAATCGTATTGTACAATATTGATCTTAATATAAAAAATCCACCTAAAAGGCATTAAACGATTTGTAATTGGAAAAACTTTATATCCAATTCAACTTTCAATTCAATTATACAATTATTATTACACAATAATCACAATTATTTTTAAACATCTAAGCTAAAAAACTAGTCAGGAAAAAATATAATAATTGTGAATGTGATAATATTGGGAGGTATTGATTTTCTTATTTTTTAAGATTTAAGATTTTAAAAATTGGTATTTAACGGTAAATCATTTTTTTTAGACACCGTTTGCAACATTTTACAAGTAGAAAACGCTTACAGAATTATATTTTATTTATTATGTTTTTGTATATATTTATATTAATGTGCTTAGGCAACAAACATATATGAATTGTTCATCTAAAATTTTATATGATAAAATTATTCTTTATTACTTTTCCCAAAAAGAGGATCGTGCTTCTTTTGTAGGTTCAGTGTTCTTTCACGTCCATTTGAAAAATTACCCATTTTTAAAAATCGTTTCCGACATTTTGCTGTTGTCGCATAAAATCAGACCACAGAAACATAATCAACTTTTAAAATTTTAACAAATTATATGTATATAAGACTAGCATATAATTATCACAAGTGTATAAGTAGTAAGTAAGTATTCGTTTTTATCGAAACAGTGCCAATTAAAACGAGGCGATACTTTCCAATAACTATTATCCTCACAGCACAAGGATATTGAAAGATTCTACTGAGTTCCTGGGACAGTCTTATAAGCGGTCTCTAAAGTGACGAATGTCCTAGTTGGGAACATTTATCGGTGAGAATTTTCATTGTCCTTATGCTGTTAGTGTAGAGACACATGAAAAATTTAATTTCCCGGTTTGGTAAAATTGTATAAATATATCTTATTAAAATTAAAAATTGTATATGCTTTACAAAAATTTACCTGAACGCTGTACCTAAACTAGTATAATACAAAAAGTTCAAAGTAGAAAGTAAAAAGTACAAAACTGCTTAAATGAAAAGTATTTCTTTTCATCCAAAATAAAACAATACAACGTTTTGCTATTTAACAGTTAAATTAATTACAATGATTGATTGTTTGTAACAAAATAGACTTAACGTGACATTGATTGGCTGCTTCCTGTTACAATACGCGGTCGTCGCGCGGGCTCTTCTTTTTTTGCTTAGCTCTGCTGTATAATTATTTTATAAATTATTTTACAGAAATACAATTTTAGTTTATCATTTTTATTGTATCATATTTTTTTGTTATTTCCATTCAAAATATATTTTGCTTATTTATAGTTAGGAATGTAAAATAACTACTACAATTAAATTATAGTTTTAATGCTCCGATCAACCGTATGTTAACGTCATAGGTTAAAAAATTGTATAAGTAAATCTGAGTTAGTAATTTTTGTGTTGTATTTGTATTTTATTATTCTGTTCGTGTAACTTGTCTACTTGTTATACCTACTTTAATCATGTTGTTATTATTTTATAGTATTCTACTATACTCTGTGCCCATTGTTGTTAATTAGTTTAAATAAATTACTATATTAAAAATATAACCTCGCCGTTTGCTATCAAAATAATTAGCTCATTATCATTAAGTTCATTTTCCACCATAAAGTAGTATTGTTTTCTACCAATACAATTTAAATTCCGTTCTATATGTAAAACAAATTTCATCCCAGATGTGAGAACCGCTGCATTTTTCTTAACGCAAAAAACTTTATTATTATTGTTAGTAACAATTACTTCTAATACCAAATTAATACATAATGGTTTAACCTAAAATTTTAATCGCATAGTAATGTGTCATGTGATGTATTAGTAAATGTTAAGTTTACATGCATGAAACCTTAAATTCCATCGCAACTCCTTGTGGGAAAAGTGTCATAAGCCGAAAATATACGACCATAACCGAAGACATAACTTCAACATACTAGTAGTCAGGTTTGGTCTTTATATTCAATAGACTGATTCTACCGATAATTATAATATGTATTATAATGTTTAGTACTCGGATTTTGAATCGGACAACAAATAATATTATGCAAATATTGATAGTATAAACACATTTTCACGCAACCAATCTAAAAACATAAATATATTATTTTTTTTTTAAAGGACAAACTTCACATAAGGACAATTCAAGTTCTTACAATGATATAACGAATAATGTGATCTAAATATGATATGATACATAAGCACACTTGGGAAATTGTCTTTAAATTACATTAAACAATTTGCTAATAATGTGTTATTTGAAGTCATTAGGTTATTATTTAGTTACTATAGTATCATAAATACATAATAAGGAAGTTAAAAGTTTCATTTGTATTTGAAAGAATCCAAATTCAAAATTGTATTTTACATAATTTAGGGGTTTTCTATTTTTACCTTTTTTTATAAGTATTTTTATTTTGTATTATATTTATAAATAAGTATTGTGTATTTAATTAAAAAACGTTTAAACACATAAGTGTTAAAGAAAACGTCAGCACATATTAAATCACAACAATTTTTTTTAAATATCTGATTTTAAACTATGACGAATTATATCATCAGTTTTTATTTTTTGGTAAAAAAAAAATGTTTATAAAAGTAATTTGTTGTGCGTGAAATTTATAGAATTTATTAATTAAAAAAATAATCAAAACTAGTTCACAAAAAGTAATAAAGGTAACGTTCTATAGCTTACATCTCACAATTATTTTCTGCTGAAATTATGCTTGTGACTTTATAACAAGATATTCAATTATATTATAAATTCGATTTTTGCTAACGTTTTGGGTTTCCACAACGCATAAATGAATTTATAATATAATTGAATATCTTGTTATAAAGTCACAAGCATAATTTCAGCAGAAAATAATTGTGAGATGTAAGCTATAGAACGTTATCTTTATTACTTTTTGTGAACTAGTTTTGATTATTTTTTTAATTAATAAATTCTATAAATTTCACGCACAACAAATTACTTTTATAAACATTTTTTTTTTACCAAAAAATAAAAACTGATGATATAATTCGTCATAGTTTAAAATCAGAAAATAATTTTAATTAACTTGTCAACTATACCAATAGCGAATTGGTAACAATAAATACAATTAATGTTTACAGTAAAATAATAATTACAGTTTTTAAAATTGAATTATAAGTATGTTTTAATTTTGAATATATATAAATATGATAAATATATGTTATAAGTTGCTCTTACCGGCATTTTGTATGGTTCTTAGCATTCAGTTTTGGAATGAATAGTTTGCACGTGGAATGAAGTGCACTCTGATAAAAATAATATTGGATTATACTAATATTTGCAGTGGATTGACTCACCGCTATTGTTTTTGTTATTCTACCTATTTTGTATTCATTTTTTAGGTCGTAAACAATTTTCAAGTTTATACGTGTTTCCCAATATTTAATATGCTTAAATTATAGACGTACAAAAATAATATACGTTTCTTACAATTATTGGTATAAAATTAATGACTATTCACGTTTTGTTATCTACGCATTATCGTATAGTCTGAAAACATTTAAATAATTTATAGTTATATACAAAAAATAGTTTTTTTTCAACAACAATAGGTGTTGTAAAATTAATTTTTTTTTACGTTTATTCGAATATCATTGAAAATTAAATAACTACTCAATTAATGTATTATATGTATACATGATTATCAACTTAACGTAGACACAATTTACCAATAACTAAAATAACCAACTGATCCGTGGTCTGTTTCCACATCACACAAGCTCTGTTTATTTGGATAGGTTAGGCGTTAGAAATTAAAAAAGTTGAAAAAACACCGAGAATGTGCAATTAAATGATTTTTTTATACTGCTAATTTACATTAAAATTCTAATTTCTTACCATACCGTTACTCATATCTTGACCAATACGATGGAAAGAGAAATAAAAACTCCAGACATGGTTGTAATAGATAAAAAAAAAAATAAGAAAACTTCCATTCCTTGCAAACGTTAGGCATAGGAATAATGTAAGTAATTTTAACGTATTTTAAAGTATAGTGTACCTATAATCTAATTGTTGATGTTATGCTTAAGACGCGACGGCTTCTTTACATATGATTGGTGTTTTATTCAGACCGCTGCTTTTTCTGAGCATTCTACTATATTATGACAGATGTTTAATTTAATATTGCATGTTTGGAAGTGAAGTGGGTTTTTTCCATTATGTGACGTGGGTGAGTTATGAAAGGCCGAGTCGATAATGACTAATAACAGTTTATTCGTGTAGGTGGAGTATGTAGGAAGAGTATTGTCTGCGATTGTTTGAATTTATGGTTTTTACCACAAACACTTTTACATTACCACCAACATATGATTTACAAATGATAACCTATGTACATGTTTGACAACTTTAATCTTTGTTCATAGTAGAAGTTCAAGAAATAGTTTTTATGTTCTAGTAAAAACAATGATGACTTGTCTATAAACAGTGTTGAGTCTTTATTTTAGTGCATTTTAAAAATTATATAAGAAGTAAAGCACGAGGTGAGTAGTTCACTTGTCACCTACACGGAAAAAATGTATAGTTGGATTTACCATAAACATGGTAAAGAAATAGTTAGACCAACTATAAGTTTAGTTAAAGCATTCATACATTTTACTGTATCTCAGTTTTAACTACTTATGTTTCAAATATTTACTTGGCATTCAGTTACACCTACATTTACAAATTGTTTTTGTCAATGTTTCGGAAACCTTTCGTCATCCATCTTCGGGGCTGTGTTGCGTGCTGGTTACTTATTGTTATACAAACTTAAACCTTAAAAAATCGCACTCATCGAATTCAAAACTCAACTTTTAATGTCACATACATAAAGCCAATCCAGAAGATCAAATTAAAAATAAAATAATAAAATTCCATCATGAAGCACTATCATTAGTTTCCGGTTCGAACGATAGTTTAGATTTTCTGTAATATTCCAGTTCCAGTGAGAGGCGCTGTCGTTTTCTCTTGAGGAAATCGAACATCTCTAATTTCTCGTCAGTGTCTCGAATTTCTTTTTCAATATCATTGATGAGAGTCTCATCCTGGTACGTTGTGTCTTCCTTGTTGTAGCTGCTACGGGAGTCTTCCAGTTGGAACCACTCTACAAGGTAATGAGAGAAAATTTGCACGCATTTAGAAAATCCCATGCTGATACCATCTTTTAAATGTGGAAATGTCATGTCGAATTAACTTAAAGCCCGTGTCCAGTAGAATATTCACAGAAGAATGACTGTCAATGACGAATGCGATACATAGCAACTGTGTTAAATAAACCGTAATATCACCGTATTTATATTTTAGCCAAAATGAGGTTTAAATATTAAAATATATATATAATTTATTTGTGCTTATTTCAGTTTAACCATAAGGTAACCGTAAAATTATTACTAATCAGTAGACACGCTGGATTCTATCACTGGATGACCATTGGCCTCCATCGATCATCATATTATACCACGGTTTTATTCGCCCTCCAAAACAAAAACGATTGATATCACTTAATATTAAGATTTAAGTACAATTCATACAATTACTGAATAATAATTTGTTACCCAATAGTTTTTAAGTAACTCTAATCCTAAATTTATAAAAACTCGATGTTTTAATCCTCTAAATTTATGTATTTTTTAAAAATAACCTAAATTAGTTATTTAGGTCATATACTTATGATGATATCAACTCGTCACCCAAAAATTACCCGACTGTTAACAGTATTTTGGCTTCGATACAGAGCTAAAAGAGGTATTGTTTTTACAAAGTTTTTTTGTGTCTGGACTAACGATATCTTCTAAACAGCTGAATCGATTTCTTCGGATAGGCTCTCTATAGCTCAGAAATCGTGTAATTTGTGGTACTGGATAGAGATAGAGAGTTTAATTATTATATCATCATCATCATCATCATTAGCTTAACTGGTCATGAAGGCCCAACGCTGCCATCATGAGATGATTTTCTTGACGAATTCGCTCCCGGGACGGGTCGTCAATCCGTCGCCGGAGAGGGGGATGGCGGTTCCTTTTTACCGGACGATTGCTCGCCCAGCAAACGGAGCGCCTGTGACCGAGTGTCGAACCGGCGACAGTGAGCGCTAACACACTGCCGCCTTACCCACTCGGCCACTCCTCCTCCTCCTATTAATATAATCAGGATAATTCTAAAAACTTCTAACGATTTTCAAGAGTGTCATAGACATGGTTAATTAGCCATTTTTACTATTAATAATATTATTTATGCAATGGGTTATAAAAAAATTCAAATAAAACATTTTGAGAGTTTAGTAGCTCAAATTCTTATGAATTTAATTGAAGTTATAGCTAATATTGCTTTCAGTGGGCGAAAACAGTTTTCAGCTAGTAAGTTTATAATATAATAGTTTTAACTGTTGATTTTAAAATAAAATAATAAAGTATTCATACTCAATAGATAGAATAATATATTTTGTTTGGTTATATTTATATTTGTGCAAGTTGTTTGGACAAACAGCGATGCGTTGAAACTTATTTTTTAAAATATTAATTCTACCATTCAATGCGAAACCATATTATAGGCAACATACAAGATAAGTTGGTATGATAAAAATATTGAATGCTTTCACGCTATTTGCTTAGCGGTTGATCTAGATTGATCCCATTTGGTTATTTACACGAGAACGACACGAAGCCTATGAATTTGTCCATCACTGCTTGGCGTGTATACCACTCACGCCCATTCGTCTGCACATTTTAAAAAACGCTATTATACAAACGTCAAAATGTTCTTTATTTTCTTACTTTTTACACCACAGTGTACTTATGTACATACCCATTGCTTTGTGTACATAAATGTGCGTTCACCTTGAATATTCCGCATAAACGATAGGTGGGCTTGTACCGGCAAGAGCATATTATTACACATAGGTAGTATTAAATGAGCATTCACAGCGTTGGCTTTTTTGTCCAGACCTTGAATTATGGCAATGAAAGACATATGGTGCGAGTACTGCGAGTATAGTTCTATTCACGGTCTTCGGCACGTCGTCCAGAAAGATGCTAAGCCGTGGGAAAGGTACGCATTGCATAGAACCATTTGTAATATTTTGCATTTCGTTACCTTTAGAATAGTTGTTGTACTAACGTCGAAGCCCTGATTTGAAAGTTAACTTTAGTTTGTTTTGATTGGCTATAGTTTTGAAGATATTTGTCTGATTGTAACGAGTAATTATGAAATTTCTATAGTACATTTATAAGTATTAAATTATTCACTTAATGTAAATAGAACGTGTAGAGTGATTGTTCCAGCTAGCAAAAAAAATATATTAGTATTATTGCAACATAAAATAAAATACCTAATACATTTTTCATTTTTATATGTATGAATTTTGATTCAGACACTATAAATCAATGTGTAAGGCAAAATCTGTAACTCTAAAGCGTGAGCCAATCAGAATAAAATTATATTGTAACTAAAAGTGGGGGCGGACACAAACAACAGAGTAACCTCTATAGTGTCCCAACTCTCACCCCTAAAGATATGTCACTGAAATTAAAACAAAATTTAGGCCTGTGTAATAAAGAAATACGTTAGGCTCACACGAACCCAACCTAACATATTAATCTAACCGGATCGCTTGTGCATTAGGGTCACTTGGGCGCTATTGTTAGTGGCTGCCAGTTTGGCCATTTTGGTGCTGCTCAACGTTTCGTGGAAAAAGTACGTGCACTCGCCTATGCAAATCGTAGTCGACGACCCACGTTATCCGCTAAGCAAAATCGACTTTCCCGCCATCACTATATGTTCCATCAACAAGATAATGTACTCCAAGGTCAACGCATTAATCAGGTATAAAAGGGGGTTTAAAATGAATTATTGACATGCATACCTTATGGCTGAGGGTCAGTCGAAAATATGCGACATTAATTTCCCGACAGTGATAAGAAACAGCTGATTACGGATGCTGATAAAAGACATCTGATAAAGGATACGTGAACTAGAGTCTAGAGAATTGTGTTATTAGACAGATGATACGAGATCAGTAAATGGATGGAAGAGTAGAATATTGTAGTCAGAGGGTGGGAAGGAGAGGTAAATGGACATTAATACGTTTGAGAAATAATTTAATAATTAGTAAAGAAATAAAATAGCTAATTAAATATTTTAAAAACCCCTTAACCAATGACAAACTATTGTATACTGATGTGACTGGACACAAAAAATATGTGTTTTGATTGCTGATACTTACTCTAAGAAATATATTTATTGGGTAAAAAGTAAAATTAAGTACATTTTTTATGGCCACTAAAACATGAAAATTCAATTTTATAGCAACTGTAATTTAAATAATGTATTTCAATGCAAATAATCTATTTAATCATTTTTTTACACCCTCAATATTATGTAAGAAATAGAACTTCTAAGTCGCCTAAATATAAATTGTTTTGTACAAAATTTGTTTTAAAGCTATTTAAAAAATATAAACTTATATTGACTTATGCAGAAATGTAAATGAGAGTCGAGAGGAAATTTATTGGAACATGCATGTTCCACTAAAATTATGCTTGTTTAATTTTGATTTTTTTTTAAATTAAAACAGCTAAGCTAGTATTTGCAAATAAGTATATTTGCATTTAAGTGCTGCGACTTATCCGTTATGAACGGTACTTTAGGTATGCAAAATACACTGGCTCTTTAATACTAATTCCTCATTGGGAGAACAAACCTAGTTTAGCGACCACACGTTTTTTTTTCAAAATGTGTGTTTTTTAACACTGAATATGATGATGAAGTCAGATTTGGTCGGTCGGACTACTTTTGAAGTTATAAGCAAAAACTTGATTTTCGGAATTTTCCTTAAAAACGCAATACTGCGCTAAAAAATTATCGGTTTTTCATTTTTTTTTATTCATTATATTTGTCATTAGATTTGAAAGTTTTTGGTAAAGTCAGAATTCACCTAGCATACTTACTTTTTATGTTATAAGCAAAAACTTGATTTTTGTAATTCAGCGGCAGCGGCGGCGCGGCGGCTAGAGTTTGCCGGCGGCGCGGTGCGGCCGCAACAGCTCGCCGCTGCACTATACATTTGTCGGCTACGCGAGTTCGCGCTGCTACTGTATTATTACTATTAGTATATTATTATTATTATTATTATTACCTTTATTACTACTATTAGAATACTATTACTATTACTAATGATTATTATATTATTTGAATAATATTATCAACGATGTGATATCATTATTGTAATATAATAATTGTCTATTTAAGTATTAAGAAACAATCGATTTCCACAACACCACAGAGGTACAATGACAAATATAATGAATAAAAAAAAATTAAAAACCGATAATTTTTGAGCGCAATTTAAAAGTTATTGCAATTAAAAAAAAAAAAATTCAGTTTTTGCTTATAAATTCAAAAGTAAGTACGACCGACCAAATCTGACTTCACCATCGTATTCAGCGTTAAAAAACACACAGTTTGAAGAAGAAAAAATTCGAAAAAAACGCGTGGTCGCTAAACTAGATTTATACCAAACATACATATCATTATATTTTTAATCTATGTTTCGGTAAGAAGTTAAACGTCTCAAAAATGTTATTTACAAAATATGTACAACATTTTGAATATTTTTTAAAATGTAGGAAACATTGGAAGCATACTGTACCTAATCGTATATATTTTATATGACAAAATATTAATTTTTATTGTACAATTATTACAGTATTGTTATAACATGGTGCCATTTTTTCATTTTTAAAGTAATACAATGTAGTATGTTTAATGTTTTGGAAAACAAAAAACAAAAGGACCAAATGATAATATCAGAAAGGTTTACATAAGGTAATACATTATATGATATTTATAAAATACTCAAAAACGTGCGGTGGCTTCAATACAAAAAAAAACAGCATCTATGAGTATACCTTCTGGTTGAAAATGTCGTAAATATATTTGGCTATTGAAGTCACAAGATTTGGAATTCCTTTCCAGGCTCGCTCAATCCAGTAGAGTATAGAGAACTTTTTCAAGGAAAATATGGCTTCCCTGACTTTCCTGACCAGAGTTTTGGGCGCCTCATCCGGCGACACTGCCATCAAGTCCTTTACCGGGTTCGCTTCTCGCGGGATACGCTGTATGACTTGCCGCCTGCCGTTTTCCATGGAATACTGGACGTATCGAGCCTTCCAGTTTGCCGGGAAATATCCCAGTTCGTTGTTGGCTCTATCGGGAACAGCGACGGGTTCCCCCTGGATGCTGATCGTCTGGATCACGCCCAGGACGAGGACGACCACGAAGACAATGAAGTTTTGTCTGGCCATTTTTGTTTAAACTGTGGAAATGATCAAAAACGATCAGTTTAGGTTAAGTAAGGTGTATCGCCCGAGTACAATATATAATAAGTATTTTTCGTACCCAAAATAGGTACCATCCGTAAAACTATTGGAATACAATAATATTGGACATATTTCCATTTTTTGAAAATAATTATAAAAAAAAAAACTATTCTGCCGCCATAGTACCCACACTAGATAGTTTTACATACCTAGTACAAGAGTGTTTTGAGTGTGAAAAATACTTCAGTTTTCTAATGTCAGAATTAATTGGGTCGGTTGCCTTTTATATAACGCTGTTTGCCTATGCATTATCGGTTATTGCTGTTTAATCGTGGAACGTTTGATGTGCCAATAAAATGGATTTAGTCGGCTTACAGCCAAAAATCACCACTACATATTTTATAGTGTCTTTCTCGGTAAAGATAGTTTTAACATCGTACTTTATCGCACTGAAAACAGGCCAGGCGTGCTTTGTTCGCTATGGCTGATAAAGTTTGCCTAGGTTTATTTATTAAGCATTATTTTACCGGTGGTAAGTAAAACGCTGGTTTTTTTACTATTTAATAAACTAATTGGAATTGTATCGTTTCAACGGGAATGTTTTACCCTTAGGCGGATCCGGTTAAATAAAAAATTTAAAGTGTAAGATGGATAGGAAGAATTCGACTAACTATTGCCCAAATCAGTTAGAGTTACACTTTCAAATTTTTTTAATTTTTTTTTTTAGTAATTACAATTAAAAAAAAGTTTTTCAGTCGAGTCTGCAACCACGAAAGAGCATTTTCATGTCTCGTTGAAGTACCGAATAAATATAGATTAATTGTGGAATTATAATTTAAAAAAAAAAAATTACATGGAGCTTCCAGTTACAGCATAAGCCAAGGAGATTAAAAAATTATGTACAATCATGTTTCTGGCTAAAATTGCACTGTTTATTATCTGGCCAAAAGTAACTTAACATAGTTTAATATATAGAGAATTAAACTATTTTGAATTTATTATTTAGTTCTAATTTGAACGTTGAACGTACAACATATCTCTTATCTATTTCTTACCCCTATCCCCTACCCACTATCTCCCGTCCCTATCACTCACCCCTATCCCCTACCCCTAGCACCGGCTAATTCTCACCCCTATCCCCTACCCCTAGCACCGGCTAATTCTCACCCCCATCCCCATTCCCACCCCCAACCTCATCATCAACCCCATTTCTTTTTTGGTAACGCTTTTTTCGTTACGCTCTTTTGGTAACGCTTTTCTCGGATATTTGCCAGGGTTATGTGCTAGAACTAAGACATGAAAATGTCAAAAAACTTTGGGAACTTTGCATCAAACTAATATAATAATAAAAATTCAAATAATAAAGTTAATAGAAATAATATAAGTCATAATAATGTAAAGTTACCTGAAGTGAGGTCAAAGTCTTCTTTCAAAAATAATTTTAAAAAGATGTTTGATAAAATAACTTAGCAAACGTTGAGGTTACGCAAATTTGGTCAATGAAATTTTTAGGGGTAAATGAATTTTCGGAGGATTAGGCATTTAAGTACTATTTTATTTACACTAATAACAATTTATTTTATATTTTTAAATAAAGTTGAAATAATTAGTATCAGATTATAAATTGCCATAATATATTTTTACTTTTATTTGAAACTTGTACGACAAGACGTAGGTAGGTATCACATTGTTACTAAATGTATAAAAGTCTCTTAACAAGTTATTTATTCATTGTAATATTTTTAGTAGCTCCGTTTAAAATTTAGGCATATACGATATAAAATATAAGGGTTCTTACTCTTTTAAATTACTTACATAGTACTCAAAAAATTGCGGCCAGTTCTAATTATGGCTGAAGTGAAATAATAAGAATTGCACACTATTATTCGAATTACCTTGTGTGTTGTGTTAATTGGAATCAAGCAAAATATGGGTCGGAGTGGCCGAGTGGACTAAGGCGGTTCCAATGCGCGCAAGTAAATATATTTTTTGAAATTTATTTTCTTTGTAAGCATTTCTGTACCTACAAACAATTTCTATTTTACCTACATAAATAATATGATAAATATACCAAATAAAATATTGCAAACGTGTTAGAGTACAGCAAATAAAGTACACAATAAAGTTCAGCCGTATTGAAGTATAAACTATATTTTAATAGTCGTTTTTGAGAAATGTATTTTTGTACATTTTATATTCTAACAGGAAAGTACGCAGTGTAAATACTTACCATAAGATATGCGCGGAACGCTATTCTACGTATACCTTGAGTCATTAAAGTGTTTTAAAGCGTTTAACCGCCTTATTGTACAGTAAAACCGGACCAACATGCGTGAATCAATGGTCTTGCATTGCACAGTCGCGTATTTATAGGGTAGGGTATGCGGATAAATCCTCTCCCTTGAACTTTTTTTTTTGTTTTGTGTAATTAAGATTTCCGTATTTCTCAATATAATATTACTATTAAGTATATTTGTTTTCTAACTATTATAAGGTCAAGGGGAGACATCAAGGAGAGATCTATCCTCTTAGAGGATACGCCACTGTCATAGTAAGTGAACAAAACAGCATTTTTCAGCCGAGTCTGCAACCACGAAAGAGCATTTTCATGTCTCGTTGAAGTACCGAATAAATTTAGGGTAGTGGTGAAGTTATTAGTATGAAATAGTATATTAACAAGCAGTAATACAAGCTAGTATCTAAGGTAGCTAGTAAACATATCATGTTTCTGGCTAATATTTTAGTGTTTTCATAATATCTGGCCTAAAACAATTCATAGGAAATATGTCCATCCTCATAACCACCCCACTCTCATCCAAACAGTAATATTTATTGTATATAATATTTATACTAGGTAGGTACAGTAAAATTATTCTTATTATTATCAAATAAAACAATAGATATTTTCCCCATACCTTAGTTAATAACAATACAACGTGCCACTAGATCATACATAATATATTATTATTGATACTCAATAGTTAGAATACCTAATAATGTCTAATTACCCAGTACAAAATAATTGTAGTTAAAAATACATCTAATTTAAATATATCTATTAGAGAACGGTATATTGATAGATTTTGAGGAGTTTTTGATGTAGACAATAGATTTAAGAAGATGTTAAGTTTTAAAAAACGTTGCTTGTAAGTTCAGCAGCACGGCAATTTATTTGACAGCTACACATTAATTAAATATTATTTTCCTATATTGTTATAAGCGCACGAAATTTGCCGTAAGACATTATAACTTCGAGATCTCAGCCTAAAAAATTAAAGAACATATTATTTTGATTACTACACTATTCTTCAACATAGCGTTGAGACTGAAATTGCGTACCGCATTGTTTATTATAACACATCCAAAAAGAAGTCTTGGCTTTTCAGATCATTTAACAACTGTCTGTATTTGTTTTTAGTACGTTTACGAATGACACCGAATTGGGAAAAAAGTACATGAACTCGTTCCGAGCAATGTCGATATTACGGTTCCCGTTTTACAACGAAGCTGTTTACTTCATACGAAAATATCCCACTGTTAATCTACCTTTAGATCAAATTACTACCATGATGTTGCAAGTAAGTTGAAAATACAAATAAACATTATCACTATATTACACATGTTAATCAATTTAATGAGTTATATTAAACATAAAAATAATAAAATAAATTGTCCACCAGAATGTAAGCAATGATGTCACAAAACTATAGCTACAATAAAACTTTATCATAAAATGTATGCAAAACTTTTTTTAAAATTATTTATTGGATTATACTTTTTCATGTAGTTGAAACCCTCCATCAATGAAATGTTTAAAAAATGTTATTGGAGAGGAACCAATTACAACTGCACGGACCTCCTTCGGTTGCAGCGCACCGAAGAGGGGTATTGTTACTCGTTTAACAGCAAAACGGCCGAGAGAAGTATAAAGTAAAATACTTATTTTACGAACCTATTATATAATTAAAAGTTCGATCAATTAAAACAAAAACTATTAAACCATCAGTAGATCGTTCAACGATCCTTACTGTAAAGGTGGCTTTTGGCCTGACATCTTATTCTTAGCTAGCTATGGTTACTTTCGAGTTTGAATCCATTGGATTGCATGTCGGACAGTACACTGGAGCTAGAAGCACAGTATTAATAATAAAGGGTGTCTAGGAATATTTTAGGGTAGATTAACAGGGTGGCTTCCTGCTTCGTACCCGTTCTAGGGTCCCATAATTTAGTCATATCGTACTGCACTGCAACATACAACAGTACAGTTTTATTTCACTTTTGACCAGTTAATTTATTGTTTTTCAGCGATAGTGACATAACACCGCCGGAGTCTAAACCGGACGGAAGCTTGGTACCGCTCAGGAACAATGCTGGAGGTAAAGTCACCGGATTCGAAGTCGTCATGAATGATATGGACAAGGAATATATACCTGACGACCTTCGACCCAGAGGATACAATGTACGTAACAGCAATGAGATTTTCTAAGATTGACCCATATCTATTCCAAAGGAGTCTGCGGACTTGGAGCGTAAAGTGTCTAAGGTGTCTAATACAAGGATGTCTTATGTAATCATTTTTAATTTTATAAAAAACACTTAGCTGTTTTTTATCATCCCGCAATAATTCATTAATTGACCCAAATTATCAATTGATGATATTATTGAAGATCCAGTGAACCATGTATAGTGTATTCTTCGGATGACTCAATACTAGTTCATTAGGTGTTATTAACGGACCACCATACATAGGGGGATATGTGTTGAGTAATGTATACGAAACTTTAAGCTCGACATTCAAAATGAGTTTGTCGTATCTCTCTTTAGCATTTTTTATTTCTGGAATATAAAATTATATAGGAATCGGATCCTTATCACACTAGACTCGGCTATGTAGGTAATTTTCTCTGAACCTAACGTTTTAGAAATCCGTTTCGTCAATAGGTAATTGTGCACACACCCGATGACTTTCCGGATGTTTCGGACAGCTACAAACTATACCAAGGGATCAATAAGGTATCGCAGCTGTCGGTATCGGTGAGCAAAGTTAGTGCGGACAAGTCGCTATACCGGCTCTCCGAAGACCGTCGCAATTGTGTTATGCACAAAGACCATTTGGCAGATCAAGGGATCATATCGCAGCATGGCAGCAGCGACAGCGAAAATAACTGCAAGAGCAGATGCCGGTTGAAGACCATCTTCCAAATATGCAATTGCACGCCGTACTTCTACAATACTAACAAGAGTATAATATGTTTTTTTAAAACCATCATTATATACATCTATCACCATACAAGCAGCGATTGGAAAGACATGAATTTCTCACGTACTGATTGCCTTCTACTGCAATCAGACTTGATTCTTTCTGAGTTGAGATCAGCGTGACGACCTTATCTTAAGTTAAGTCTTGAGGATAAGACTCTTAACCTTGAGAAGTTTTAATCTCTTTATAAATACTCCACTTTTTCTCTTTTCCTTAGACATTGTTACTCACGTTGATGCTGATATTTTTTTATTTTTCCATCCTAAATGGATCTGTCAGTGCTCTCCATTTACTTTCTATATTTTCCTGTATACCAGTCTACTCCACAAGAAATAACTCCTTATTTTACATCATATCTCCTGTGGTCATAAGTCTCTTCTCCACAAAATGCTCTATCGTCTTGATGGTTCCTTGTGTTTAGCTATTTTGCTGTTGAATTAATATATTCATACCTTCCTCTTGTCACTGTAGGTACTTTATTTCTGACCAAACCTGTAAACTATTACCTGCTGGTTGGCGTTTAAAAATAATATTAATAAAGTAAGAGTGTTTTTTATTATTTTCAGAAAACGTGACTCAGTGTGGGATACAACATATGGCATGTCTAAGAAAAATCAACGGTAAACATAAAATAACAAAATATAATAACATCCGTGTACACAATATATTCCAGACTATATCTTTTTGTATTCTTTTATTTTCTACCTACCTATATTTAAATTGCAAATAACTAAACACCATAATCTACAATGCAATATATTTGTTAACGTCGAAAAGTGTATGATTTTATCATACTTTCATATGGACTCATGCACACTAGTCATTCTGGAATATTTTGAGTAGTTGATTAAGTATAAAAAAAAAAAAAACCGAATAGGAAATTTTAATTATGTGTGGTTACTCAGTACTTCAGCGCAATACCCAGCCTTTGAAAGACCAACCGGGGTTTCCCAAATGGAGTATTCCGGTGTACATGAACTGCAGCTGTCCGCAACCGTGTTCATTTCTTACTTATACAACGGAGATCAGAAACAAAATAAGGTATTTATACCAAGTTTCCTGGTTATAACCAAATACCTGGTAGCCTTTATTACCTTTTATGTACGTTTATACACGTTCTCATGCAGGGAATACGTGGACACGAGCAGGCTGAGCGAGTTCATCGGCCCGATATACTTAGATTTTCACTTCAAAGAACACTTTGCCATTAGTTACATCCGATCCATGAAGTACAACACACAGGATTTGTTGGGTAAAACAACCGACTGACTCGGAGATAGACTGAGTACAGATGGAAACAAACTCTTAATTCTCTTTTTCTACTCAGGCTGCCTCCGAACAACTTTAACTTACAACTATTTGATTATAATATTGTCGTTACAGTGTCGTTTGGAGGAGTCGCTAGTCTCTTTCTAGGCTGCAGTTTGGTCAGCTTAATAGAAATAATGTATTTCATATATAAATCCATTTTGGTCCTGAGACAAAAACCGATGGACCCAAAGAAGGACAATGACCCCTTACAGCAGGTCCTCTTCTACCGTCGATACCATCACTCGTGCCATCTCAGGAAACCTCTCTACAGGATACCTCAGCCGGTCAACATCAAATCGTCAGACAACCAGTTTTACTATTGAGACTTACCAAATTTGCACATTTTAAAACAATTTGAAACACTAATTGACACACTCATAAGGGATAGAATCGTAGTGACTCAATATAATATGCAACCTTAGTCATTTTATTACTAGACTTAGTAATGATTAGTTCATCATTGTTGTATCAGTAGAAATAAAACAATTATACAATACGAGTATGGTTTAACTATTGTAGAGAAAATTGAACAACGATTGGTTTAAATTTGTTGTCATTCAAAATGGAAACAGAACAAAATTCTCCGTGTCTTAACAGCTTTCCTCTTATATGATTTTCTGTTTGGTTGAAATACTCGTTAATATAAATAATAAATTCATTATATATAACTATTATTGTTGTTTTGTTTATTTGTCCCCATGAAGTTATAAGGTTTGAATTATTATATTTATTATATGTTTGGTACAGCTTATAACTAAAGGCGAAAAGACCTGTTATTTTTTTAAAGATTGTATACTATTTTTTAAAACTAATATAGTTATTCTAATTTGGCTAAGATAGTTTGTATAGAAAGGGTTTAAAGATAAAGATAGATCGAAGATAATAATAAGTGGGTAGATATTATAATATAAATGACTTAACACGTTACCTATATGATATAACAAATAGAGATTCGAGATAAGTTTATAGATTTGGCAAGCTGACCTAACTTGGGATATGGTAAAGAATAACTTCATTTTATATGTTCCTAATAAAAGATTGTTGTTAAAATGAGAAAAATTACGCAACCTATCAATTTATATGAGCTTCATACTAAACCACGTGATGTCATTATGACATTGTTTATCATATTATTTGTTTGTATTAAGAGACAAGTGTATGATTAACAACACAAATAATAGAAACCTTGAAATGAGGAATTGAAAAATAAAAATATTACATATTCAATTTTTGATTATTCTTGGAAACTGATGAATATAAAATCCTCCGTATTTTGCAAATTTCAAGCAATCTTCCTCTTTCAAACAAAATTAATTATCAAAATCCTACCAGCAATAAAGCGTTTTTTATCTATTATAACTCATAAAAAATGGTATACTTTAAAAATTACACCCTAAAATTAATATAATTTTAAAAAATGACGTAAGCCATAATTGAAATTGATTAAAACATATTTTTTTGTGAAATATTGTTTATATTTTGCCCTTGATGAATAGCTGGGGCGGGTCTTTTATATGTTTGTATTTAAACAGACAGTTTACAACCTATATTATATAGATTATACTATACTACAGTGACATGTTTAATATTTACACTACATTTAGCAGGTACAAGCTTGGTATTCTTTAAATTTCAAGCAAATAGTCCTTGGATAGTTGAACAAAACAAATAACTATTTCTCATCGGCATTCAAACTAGTCTACTATTATTGTGTTGAATTTATATCCAATGAATAATGAATAGAAATCAAGCCGTGTAAACCAACATAATATGTGGGACTATATTATATTATTTCAAATGTAATTTAGTATTTTCATATTTTTTTAGCTGTTATATTTTTACAAAGGTCTAAAAGCGATTTTTCTATTTTTTTTTTTAAGTTTAAACAATATTGTAAACACAACAAAAATAGACCTGGCGGGCGTGTTCCTGTATTTAAACATAAAGCGATGACTTCGCTGAATGTATGATATATTAAAACAAAATGATGGACATATTCGCCTAATCTGATCAAGCGATGAAAGTATATAAATATGTACTAGTACTTGACTTTGAGACATTGATATTTTTTAAGGTTGGCCTGTACACTATAACGCTTGTATGCCGTACAGATCAACTGTAAACTATGATTCAACAAAGAAAACGGTGTACTGTTGTTAAGCCAACCGAGGAAACCATCTGGGAAGAATATATCGAAAATGTGTCCATTCACGGTCTCCGGTATGCCGTTCAGAAAAAGGCTAAACCTTGGGAAAGGTAACACTGCTATCAGGTCTTTTCTTCTGTTCTGGTATTAGCTTTAGTTATTATTACACTCGCATTAATGTAATAAACACTATAATTATAAATTCGGGAAAATGTATTATTAAGATTAAAAGATCATATACTTAAACTCTAATAGTCATTCCCTGAAATCTCATTTGGATTCCTACTTCCCATATCGTTCTTGTTATGGAATTTCATAGCCAGAGTCTGACAGGACTCCGATTGTTCGTGGTTTTGGTTCATTTCAATATAATTTCGATAGGTGTCAATTATAAATGTTGACCCTCTCAACAAGCTATTGGAAATGTTTAAATTTAGATGATTTCAATTGGAATACGAGTTTTCTAACATTCTTACCAAAGTTACTAGAGTAGTGCTTTTTAGGCAAGGAGAGATGTAAATATTAGTATTAAAAACAAATACATTCACTAATGGGAATTCCTTGAAAAATAATCTGTCTACTTGCAAAAAAAAAATTTTTTCTAATTAAATTAGTCATATTTTGTCGATTTGCAGAAGCGTGTGGGTCGTATTGCTGGCCATAGCCGGTATTGTCATACTGCAACAGTTGTATCGATCCTGGAAGATGTACACCCACACTCTGACCAATATAGTCATCGAAGACCCACGTTATCCTTTGAGTGAAATCGATTTTCCAGCTATTACAGTCTGCTCGAACAACAACATAATGTACTCCAAGGCCAAGGCGCTTACCGAGTGAGTATAATATAATACAGCCTTATCCCATAAACAGCACAAAAAATAAATGTAGTAAGAATGTTTTTAAACATTTTAAACTATGCGTTTAGGATCAACAAATATTTTAAAACATTTTCACGGTATTTTATATTTCACGTTATGTATTATATAGTTTTTTGAACATACTTTATTTTCAATAACGATTGCTAATTTCGATAATTTTTTTAAAATATTTAAATAAAGGGCGCATACTCTGTACGTACTTAGATTGGCTTTACAGAAACTAGACATAAACCAGAGAATTTATTTTAGGAAAATATCCAACGATTCGGATGTGCGGGAAATGTATGAAAACACACTGGAAGCGTTGAGCATAATGCGGTACCCTCATTATAATGCGCTGGAGAGCAGAGTGCAGAACAGACGCATGTTCAATATCCCTCCGAAGGATATCTACGGCATTATGATGGATGTAATATAATACATAATATAGGAGTGGCCTAAATGAGTCAAGCAAAGTTTAAAGCATTAGTCGTATATTTATAATGATTTCTAGCTGGGGCCGACCATAGATGACATGTTCCTGAAGTGTTACTGGAGGGGCATGAGACTCGAGTGTACGGATATGTTTAGACGACAGCGCACCGAATTGGGATTCTGCTATTCGTTCAATAGTAAAACCGCTGAGAGATATGCCAAGTAAGTAGGTATATCGGACTTTCAAGACCTGTTATGTTATATTAAGTATAATTTAGTATTGAAAAAAATCATAATATAGTATTAATAATCATATTTAAAATAAAATCTAAACAAATCAATCAAATTCTGTGAGCTTATTTTTATACTATGCACTCGAAAAAGCGAGAGAAGGATCAAGGGCCTACCAGTGCAGATGCCAAGTTAATCTACTAAGAGCTCAACATTGTTGACCTCACATGTAGTGCAAATAGGGCCGGTATATCTGCACTACCCGAGCCTACACCTAGTTTCTATAGTTAATATACACAATTTAAAATCCCTTCTGTAACGGTCACATTTAGCCGCCCGTTACCACTCGCCTCCAAATATGCATTATTAGCAGTTTACCCCGATTAGCATGTAAGCCATTATAGGTAGGGGAGACAACAGACACACGGGACAATGCCAGGGGCACCGATGCCCAGTTAGTTGACATACTACCATCTTCGGACCGCGACCTAATTATTCTAAAGCCATTACCTATATTTCACGTTACATTACTATTTTATATTTCTTTTAACTTTACCCGTACTCGTGTGTCCGTTCAACTCCGCCATTACCTGGACTAACTACAGAGAACGCTTTAGGATCCAGGTAGAGGTGTAATATATATGTACATAGCTTTACTTATTTAATAAACCTGTTTTCGTTTCGTTGCACACTTGAGAGTTAAGTTATTTAGAGGTACGATCGCCTGTTAAGCTCCTCAGGCGATATAGCAAATATACAAAGGAGACTTTAGGGATATTTAAGTGTAGATACGGCCTAGCCATCCGTCCCGTCTTCGGGTCCACTAATTTAACCCTATCGACTGTCGTTTCGGCCTAGCCTAGCCAACTAGCCAAGCAGACACGTTACAATTTGGTGGAGGCGCCGATTTTCGTTAGTCTTACCTCAGGGAGGGACCCTAACATTTTTAAGGGAATAGACGACGGACACGACCCCATATAATTGTACCTGCTATTTTTTGATTTAACTCTCAGGTTGTAGTAAAGTACATTTTTTTTTTTTTATTAAGTATCAAATTGCATTTAAATTCTAAATTCAAATATAAAAATCGATTGTATTTTTTTTTTAATACAAGAAAATTAATCATTATGGCTGGTCATAACATATGCGAACCCCAAATATTTTCGGGGCATATAACTGAAGATGTTGTAGATTACTTTTATACTTTTGAGAAAATTTCTGCCGCAAACAACTGGGATGACGAAAAAAAGACAATTATGTTTCCATTATATTTAAGAGACCAAGCCAAAAAATTATTTCAATTTATCGAGGTTGAAAATATAACTTTAACGTGGGAAACTTTAAAGAAATCCTTTTTGGAATTTTATAATACAGAGGATAAATTGGAAATATTAAGGGGGAAACTAATGAATAGGATAAATCACGGTACGAGTTTTAACAACTCTATGCATAGTGCTCGTAGGTCTAATAATAATATTAATAATAATAGTATTACTAATAAGAATATTAATTTGGGTAACTTTAATTATAATAAATACAATAGATATCCTAATGGAATAAATAATAATAAGGTTAGAGATGTATTCAATAGGAATTATAAGACAACCCAAAATCGCTATAACGGTACCAGAAATATTAACTTTAATTATGCCAGTAACAATAATAATAGGTCTACTTGTAGTAGTTTTAACAGTCAAAAGCCCTATTTTACTAGAGTTCCATATGTATCTAATGAGAATTATAACACAGGGAATGTAGCCTATAATCCAGGAAGGGAAAGTTGTGTCCAAACTCCAATTCCCTTGTTTTCCCCGTCTTTTTATAGATATTCTAATAGGCATTAAGTATAAGAAAAAGGAAAACATTTTAATTTTTTTTTTTATTTAACTTATTTTTCATTTGAAGAGTATAGATATACATAATTTTTTTTTTTTTTTTAGGAATCTTTTAAATAATACTATTGCGCACAGTTATATAAATTGTTAGTTTTCTAGTATGGCAGAAACAACAAATACAGTGTACGACCTGAGCGGCCTATACTATTAAGGATATGATAAGATAGGTATTGCGTTATACATTTGTTAGGTAGCGTTTTTAAAACATACATAATAACTCCCACGATGTAATTACCAGGAATTCAGTCCTCAACTAGTATTTTTTTTTCTCTCTCTTAGCCTTTATTTAGTTATAATATCGAAATCCGACACGCTCTTAGTAGAAACCATTTGATTAACACTTTGGCAAATAGAGTCGTGATTTCGTTGAGTATTGTTCTCACGAAATCGTTGGAAACCGTTAAATTTTAATCCTGACATAAACGAAATTTATAAATTTAATACAATATTAACTTAACTAACCGTTATGGTACTTGACCGTTAGGAAAAATATTTTAATACATGTAGAATAAATGACACCGCACACATTTTTATTAATTTATTTTTTTTATTTTACTTTTTTTTGTTCAAGCTGACAATGGGTGTTGTGGAATTCCATACAACTGTTGATTATAAATCCCACGACAAACTATAATTGTGTTTTATATAACTTGAGCATTTTAACTTATAATATATATTTCTTTTGTGTGCCATTTACTTATTGTTAATACTATGTATAATTAAATTGACGTTAACTCTTTACAAATATAAAAATATTAAGCCAGTAATTAGAAAATATTTACCTTATAAAATTTAATTTAATTAATGATAGATTTAACAACTTAGTGATATTTAACGTAACGTAACGATAATTGTAACGTGTCTGCTTGGCTAGTTGGCTAGGCTAGGCCGAAACGACAGTCGATAGGGTTAAATTAGTGGACCCGAAGACGGGACGGATGGCTAGGCCGTATCTACACTTAAATATCCCTAAAGTCTCCTTTGTATATTTGCTATATCGCCTGAGGAGCTTAACAGGCGATCGTACCTCTAAATAACTTAACTCTCAAGTGTGCAACGAAACGAAAACAGGTTTATTAAATAAGTAAAGCTATGTACATATATATTACACCTCTACCTGGATCCTAAAGCGTTCTCTGTAGTTAGTCCAGGTAATGGCGGAGTTGAACGGACACACGAGTACGGGTAAAGTTAAAAGAAATATAAAATAGTAATGTAACGTGAAATATAGGTAATGGCTTTAGAATAATTAGGTCGCGGTCCGAAGATGGTAGTATGTCAACTAACTGGGCATCGGTGCCCCTGGCATTGTCCCGTGTGTCTGTTGTCTCCCCTACCTATAATGGCTTACATGCTAATCGGGGTAAACTGCTAATAATGCATATTTGGAGGCGAGTGGTAACGGGCGGCTAAATGTGACCGTTACACTTCTATAAGCCCAGACACGTAACCGTTATCCATTGCAATAGGACTGGATAAGAGGTGATCATATTGTATTGACATGGGCTGTATTTAAGTTTAGCGGTTTTCTTACAGTGACAGTGAAAGGAATCCTCCGCTAATTGGATCGGACGGAGAATTGGTGCCGCTCAGGAATAACGCAGCGGGCAAAATGTCCGGCATTGAATTGGTCTTGAGAAACATGGAGGACGAGCATTTCCCAAAAGACCGCAAGTTAAAAGGCTACAATGTAAGTAAAGATAAAACCAACGTGTACAATAGTATGTTAATGAGGTTTTTTGCGAAATTACAAGTATAGCTTTAAGCGGCATTAACAAAAAAAAAAACCTAATTAGGACAATAAATGGTACGTAAGCGCTTGCCAAATATTTTTTGTTACCTTTTCAATAATTAAAAGATTATATGTTACTTATACATTTATAGTTGAGTGTTGAGCAAAATATAATTAAATGTTTAACGTATTAACTGAATAAAAAGATAATATTATGTTCCAATGAATCACAAATAAATTGATTTGAATAATTACTACATAATAAAGTAATTAGGTACCTAATTTTGTTTGCCTGTAACTCATTTTGTTATAGCAACATATATGTTTAGGTTAAAACGCCAAATATAAACGAACTTTTAAAGCACCTCCCCACGGAACTTTATGAAACTTACCCTGCATGTCTGTTACGATGAAAAGAATGTTCTCACGTTATTTTTTTGATTATTTTGGTTATGGTCGTAAAAAGTATTTTTAGTTTTTTCTGTTCTTTTTAATCGTTTTTTTGTAGTCTGACCATAAAAAAAAATAAAAAATCAGTTTCTTATGTAAAATAATCTAGAAAAAGTAAAAAAATGGAAAATTATCTTATTTTTACACGTAATTATTTGAACTAATTTTGTAAAATGGCGTTTTTTCGAATTTTCTATTGATTTTCACCTCTTTTTTTTTTTTTGTAATTCTAAGCGTTTTTATGGAAAACCCAGTTTGAAATTTACACATTTTATGTAAAACGTTCTAATTTTTCTGAAAGAAATATTAGAAAATTCTCAAATTTTGAGCAACAAAAAAAAAAAAACGTTTTAGATTAAAAACTCAAATTCTGTTGATTCTGTTGCTTGAAAAAAATCAATTTTTTTTTTAAAAAGCTAAGATTTTTTTTTCACATAACTGATTTTTTTTAGAAAAAAATCGTTTTTGACGGTCGAAGATACTATAAATATATTTGGTTAAATGATAAGCAAAATATGTATTTATATTTTGGTATTTTTAATAGATTATGGTGCACACCCCCGATGAATTCCCGGACGAGACGGTCAGTTATACTGTACAAGTGGACATCAACAAGGTGTCACAGATATCGGTGTCTGTAAGCAAGGTGTGCGCCGATCAATCACTCTATTGGGTCAAAATAGAGGATCAAAAGTGTTCCATGTATTATTCGAATTTGACCAATTCGCAGCAGTCTTCGTTGTTTTGTAAAAGTCCATCCGAAGGCACCTGTTTCAGGAAATGTCGGTTGGATATCATTTACAAATTATGCAACTGCATCCCTTACTATTGTAACACCGAAACAGGTGATAAAAAATCTTAGTTAATCTATAGTCATTAACAAACAACGATTTCTATCCATTTGTATTTAAAATATTAAATAACTGTGGACCACAACTAAATAGCATATAAAATGTAGTATCTTAAAAAAAAAAATTTTAAATTCGAAAGGAAAACTTAAACATATCTTTATACTTTTTAAAGAAATTGTTCTATTCGACTGTAGACATTATTATTGTTTTTTTTTTTTAGAAGTGAAACAATCTTGTGGAGTTGAACACATGATGTGCTTGTCCGATCTTAATAGTAAGAATCCATTACTATAGTAATAATATTAATATATGATTACTGACAAATACCGATATTTGCAATATTTCTAAATTAAACTTTTAATTTTCATTTATTGAACAAAATTGATTTCTCCAATCATTTTTTCTTGGCTTAACACAATAGTATCTAGTCTTTAGATACCAGGACGGAAATATCAATACAGTGGGGTTGGGGCATAGTAGGGGCAGAACGTAACGCGGCTAACAAGTAACAGGCCAGCCACAAATACAATGTTTAGGAGAGCCAAAAAAACATTTTTTCATCATTTAATATTATTTTCATTACCTAGTTGAGCCTAAGCTTCGCTTATAAAATGTACGTGGTGAACTTGTACGAAAACAATTTTAGTGGTTTAAAAGTTATTAAATTAAGTGGCGCATACACGTTTATTAATATTTCATACCTAAATTTTTTTTTTGGCGGATACGTTTTTAATGATTAATTGGTTATTTGTCAGTAGAAATCGGTCAGATGGTTTTAAACCACTGCGGATAGTCCAAACACAAAAATGTATATATTGTTGTAAGACTAATATCTTCTCAGTTCCGCATTGTAATTAATACAAAAAAAAAACACAAAAGCTTTTTAACTGCGCATCTAAGCTAAATTTAGTTAATAGCCAGGATAACTTTATGCTTGGATGTCTATGCATAAACATTTTAATCCACAGTACGTCAGCGTAACGTCCAAGCTCCGGAAACCGAACGGGCAGCCTTTCCCGAATGGAGCTTACCGGCATTCATGAACTGCAGCTGTCCCACACCGTGCTCATTCACCTCATACACCACAGAGAACAGAATGATTACAATGTATGTAAGCGCTAACAAGTTCTGTTTTCATTAAACCAGTTAAACAACACTGCACGATAATATCATATCGTAGGTATACGGTCAGCAATATGACCTTGGGTCCAGATCACATGTATTTGGACATTCACTACAAAGATCCATATGCCATCAGTTACTCGAGATCGATTAAGTACAGCACAGAAGACTTGATGGGTACAGTTATTCAACATTGAACAACTTATAATCGTCAATTTTAAGATTTTCATATTGAACTGTTGGCTATATTTTAATGTGTTCTAGTGACGTTTGGAGGAATGGCCAGTCTGTTTCTAGGCTGCAGTTTAGTCACCTTGGTAGAGGCCATTTACTTTGTCTACAGATTATTAGTCACATTGAAACGGAGATGTTCTACAGTCGATGTAATACAGCTGCAAAACAATAACGTGAACTATCCTTTCTGTCCATAGTGCCTACTACTAAGTCATAATGAATTGTCAACATTAAAATGCAAACTACTGTGAATTTTTTTCACATACAAAAACAATATATATCAATTTACATTAATGGCTATTACTCATAATAGTATGTATGTAATCCTACGAATCCTACAATCCTGCATACAGTTTTGTAATTGAGAAAAAGAACAGAAATTATAGTTTCATCACTTATAATTATAATAATAATAATACTGATGTTCATGCATATTTCTAAATAATATGTGTTATTTCAACAACTAATATAATATTTAAAGTTAGGATACATATATTTTTAAAATTAAAATCTTAACTATTATTTGGTATCACACAATAAATTTGGCATTAGAGAAACATAATATTGACGTAAATAAAAACAGTAATAGGCATAACATAAATACCAGAAGCGGAGGAGCTCAGTTGTCTCATTAGGTGTCTCCACTTTCGGTACCGTTAAACAACACCATTTCGAGTACTGCAAACAAAAAATTACAAATAATTATTTGTTGAAACCAAAATCTTATGCTTCTTACGTCCAAATATGTTATTGACGCAGTTAACGTTAGTCGCCGCTACAGACATTTCCCAAGACTCCATGGGTACATGGTATGCGTCATCGTTTAAATCAAATTCTTCAATTCCTCTAGTCAATTCTACATAATCATACTCTGGAAGTTCGTTTCTGTAATATAATATGATATATTTAATATTCAACCATATTTACTAATCACAAAAGGTATTTTTATACTTTATTCTTTTCAGAAGCTCAATGCCCCGTTTCTTGGTCTTGTAAGACAACTGGACCATATTAGATGTGTCTTTAGTGTCGAAAAGCGCTTCTCGCTAGTTATGTCATAAAGAACGTTTTAGTAAAATTGATAACAACAAACTTTTAAAAATTGTAATATAATTAATTACCATCGAACTGACATCTAGAGATGAACTAGTAGAGCTATTAAATGCTGTCAGAGATTTATGCATTGGCGTCGGTAAACCATTATGTGTCGTTACCATCTAAATATTCCAATGAAAAAAAAAAATTTACAAATCAATTTATAAATGTAATAAATGTATGTAAAATACAGATGTATAAATTTAAAAAAGGTTTATAATATTATTTTTATATATGATTTCACTCACTCTAGTCGGTAGTGAGGCTAAAGACGAACTTGTTGCAGAAGAGTGAATATGGTTACTTTTCAATGGCTGTGGAGAATGATCTCTGGATGTCTGTAAAAAAATTAATAAAAATAATAAGTATACCACCAGACCTGGCGTTGTAAGAATATTTTTTTTTTTTTAAGTGTATTTATATAATATTTTAAATGATATTTTTGTTGAAAAACTTACAGCAGGAGGATGAGGTAATTTATGCCAATTGTCAACGGGTTCGTAATAATTCAAACTGTTTTGATCCCATTGTTCACTGTCATCATCATCGTCGTCTTGACAAAAATTATCGCGGCCATGAAAAGATGCAGACCTTAAAACTGGGTTACTTGAAGTAGTGGCACATTTTCTAAATTTAAAATGTTCACAATTAAACAGGTTTATTAAATAAATAACAGCAGATGACTTGCCCTTTAGAAAACGAATTTGTTTGTTTTTGTAGTTCCTTCTTTTTACCTTCGGCCGCTGCCTTCATGGGATCATAGTTTTTACGCCTCTTCCAATTTTCTAGTTCCGTTTCTTTGTTTGGTGGTTGAACTTTATTGCAAAGTATACTAGAGTTCCATTTTTTCTTTGCCGATAAATTTTTTCGTGCTGACAGCAAAGGCGACTGATGAATTATAAAATTAATTTGTTAATATATAAACATGTACGATTAGCGCTAACACATAATGTGGTAATAGAATCTTACTGAATTCGGCTGTGGTACTCTTGATGTCCTTAAACTGTAACGACCACAATCTACCCTTGACATAGACGAACTTAATGTTTGAGTGGACGGTTTAGTTAAACCAGATTTTCCATTAACAGCCTTGATGTCATTTTTCTTAGTGAAATCATCTGAAGCTTTTGAAAACCTATCACGACGCAAACTACACAAAAGTAAAAATTATACAATTAATCATAATTTTAACAAATTATTATTTTTTCTATAAAAAACAATCAGAATTGTGTAAAGTATTAACACATGTATTTATGAATACTTTTTATAGGCTATATTTTTAAGTAACAAAATACTTTTATGCATTTTAAATATATATATAAATAAAGATAATACTAATAAATATTTAAATCTATATTTTATTTACTTAAAATTATTTTAAATCATTTTTTCCTAAACTGAAAATAACATACTTAAACGTTCGGTTATACTGTATAGATGTATGTCCACCAGCTTTATCCACCTTAGCTTCCATCATATTTACACAGTTTTCAGCGTCTTTCAAAATCGATCTGGTATCGTCATCACTACTTGTATTTTTAATGCTATTCTCCTATATTATAATAATTTTAATATAAATATTAATTAATGTAATTTTAAGGGGAACAGAAAGTGCCCAATTTTATACAAATAAAGACTAAAACAAGAATTCACTTACACTCAAGTCTTTTATGCTTGATGAATTTAACAATGGTATGTTTGATTTCCTTGTATATCTTTTTAATTTTGGAGATGGTGGTGGCTTTATGTCTGTAAATAGAATTGTTAAAGTTACATACTGAAATAACTTAAATTTTAAACGTGTTAATACTATTAAAATGTTGGCACCTGTTTTTGTCAGTGCAGCAGTTGATGAACATGTTTGGTTTTGGCTTAATTTTGAATGCCATTCATTGACCCAGCTGGATCGTAATTTCTAAATCAAATAATAAAAATTATAATAAAAAATAATCAAAGTAATTGATTTAACTAACCTTAACCATTGAATTAGATTTCTTAAACTCATCAGTGGCATTTTCGAAATTATGTAATGCGTCAGATTTGTTATCGTCATAAGAAACACTTTTTTCGATTATATAAGTCCCCGTACTACCTGTGTCGCTGTTGGATGAATCATTATCACTATTGTTGGTATCCTGGTAATTTCTTTGAACTGGATTACAATAGTCATTATCTATGGTAATAAATAAATTAATTTAGTTAATTATTAATTTAATTTACTCGACAGTAACAAATTTCTTCTGAAATCAGTAAACAACATGCAAAAATTGCAGCATAAACTTGTAATAACTTGCACTGTAGTAAATTTAATATGTATTCAAATTGAATGTGACAGGTTAGGTTGACAATTCCAGAAGAAATACGAATAAGCGAATACTATGTTTATTATTTATGTGTATATAATAATAATTTGTGCTCACCATGTAAATAAGGTGTTGCAGTTAAAGATGTGGATTCATTGTTAGGCTGATTAAATGTAAAAATATTAGTATATTAATTTTTAATATTTTTTAATTAATTTTAGTAATTACCGAAGCTGTTGGTTTGAAAACACTATTGATGGGTAGTGAAAGGTTACGTTGATGGGTACGAGTGAATGTTTTTGTAGAAGTCGATTCTTCATGTCCTCTGAAATTATTGGCATTTGGACCTCTCAGTCTTGTAGATAATTGCTCTCTTAATTTATAGTTTGAATTCATTTTGAAGCATAAGAACCTAAAAGTAGGAAATTGTACGTGAAAATCAGAAATCATATTTAATTTAGATAGTAAAAAGTACAAAAATTATAGATCAAAATATAGCTAACAATAATCACTTTGTATTATAACATAATTTGTTTAATCGTTAATTAAACTGTTTACAATTTAAATGTTTTCTTAAATTAATTACACAAACGTTTCATACAAAACGAGCTTAGTTGTACTTAAGTCTTTGAGTCGTTTAGGATTTTATTTTTATTCAAATTTGGCGTTAATCTTAGAACTACTAGTTTAAAAATAACAATTGCATTTTATTCAGTATTAGGTAGATTTTGTTAGTGTTAAATTTAAAGTAAAAAAAAACAGGTGCTGTCAACAGATGTAAACAATAAGAAATGTAAGAAGAACCTGGTATAAACAAAACACTCATGATATTGTGTAACTAATTTCTGACAACATAAAACCACTGAACAATATAATTAAATATTAAATACTGAGAAATAGAACTAAACACCAAACCATTTTCCCATGTTAAAAAAAAACTACTTATTTTAAATTAAAAAATTATACTTGTTAACTTGTATAATTAACACTTATTAAACTTTTAACTAAAATGTGAATAACTTATAAAAAAGTTCAACAAAACAATTTTTAAGACCTTAATAGTATATAATTAAAAAATTACTTAATTACTTAATAGACTACTTAGCCTGGATGGACAAAAAAAAATTCAATAGCTGTTCTCACAAATTTGGCTTAAAATTTAAGTTTAATTTTAAAAAAGCAAATAGTTGATAAGCATTTTTTTCCATAACACCATGAAAATAATTAAGTATAGAATAAATGTATAAAACTAAAACTGTCCAATTTCTAAATTTTTAGTAATTCATATTTTTTTAGTAATCACACTGATCTGTAACATATTATACAAGAAAACTGTTTTGAATAAAAACATAAATGTTCAATGCAAAATTGTATTAATACTATCACAAATCAATGCACACTGACTATAAATAAAAATGAAAGATTTTAAGCATTCTAGGAAGACCTTGGCCCCCGACATTTGTTTTTGTATTATTTTGTGATTTACACTGAATTATGTCAGTTTGCCAAAAGGAATGACACAAAAACGATAGGTCATTACAGAAAACTAGGTCTATGGGAATCGTTTTTTTTTATAAATACCTCCCAAAAAAAAAAAAGCTTCTCTCGGCCAGCGCCCACCAACACAGAAATAGACTTAGCGGAGGCAACCCGCAACTTATAGATTAGTCGGTCGCCTCCCAACACTCACCAGTGTGGCTGTAAATCCTGGAGAATTCAGTGTCCTTCGCGCATTCTACCGGGTTCTTTCCTTTCGTGGATATCACTACCGCTGCGCAATAACTCATAAAGGCGACGAGATATGTTTAATGGTAGTTAATTCATAAAACAAAATACGGAATACGTCGTCCCGAGTCGATGATTCAATTGTTTGTTTTTTCCTCCTCTCTTAGACTATCTACAGCTTTTCAAATAAAATACTATCACATTGCGTTCGGGGGGAACGGCAACTGTGCGGTGGTCGAGTAGCAAAATCTGACGCGTTATCACTTATCACCGACACGACCATGGCCTGAGCGGGCTTAGAAGCTGCAGCTGCTGCCACCGAATCGCTTATCAGCTGTTGTTGTAGTGATGACCACACGACTGACGTCTGCTGCGGTTCACACCGATACCGTAACCGTGGTTGCCAACGACCGTGACCTGCTGAAAATTACCTCCACCCGCGGTCTCAACAAACGGCGCCCCACCTACTCCGTAATGTACCGCGGTCGGCCATCTTTTTTGCCCTTAAAGTGTAAACAATTTTTAAATATAAACATTTTAAAGACAAAATTATTTTTAATCCAAAATTGAAATTAAATTTTTATTATTTTGTAATTGCTGATCGTGATATTGTACTTCAGGGTGAAGTCTTCCTAAAACCTTCCCCGTTTTTTTTCTCCAGTATAAGCACACTACAAAGATTTTTCATTTGAAAAATAAAAAAAAACCTTAAAAGCATAGCCAAACATTTTCCGCTCTTTCATATTCGTCCTTCGACATTTTTCGTACCTCTTACTGCAGAGGATAATGTAAAAAAAATACTTATATAATATTATATTCAACACTGTAATAATTTGTTCCAACGCCATTTTATTATCAATCCCTTATCAACGCGGTAACGTACTTAGTGGTTGTCGTCAGTCGGTGGGTACAATCAATATTCAAGCTGTCTGCTGTAATCGATATTCGATGTTCAACAGTAGCATGTTTTGTTTCTGTCTGACATTGAATTTAATTCCATTAAAAATTAGTTTGTAGTCATAGGGTTTGAGTTAAGTTCTTTCAAAACCAAAAACAATGTCGGATTATGACAGTGACGTGGGCAGTTACCGTGGCGGCAGCGATAGTGAGGTAATTAAGTCTGTGTATTTAATAGTTTTTCGTCAATAATAATATGATGTGATGCTTGTAAAATTGCATAATAATGATTTTCCTAATATGTTATGTTCATTAACAGGAAGAGTCAAATGTATATCACAAGCATTCACCGAGCCGCAGTGCCAGCAGAAGTAGAAGTAGAAGTCGATCGGGTAGTGGCTCGGAAGCTGAAGAAAATAACCAGTAAACATCATTAAATAGCAACCACATAACTTTGTATGATTGTCATCGATTCTTATCATTTTTTTTTCCAGAGAGGAAGAAGTCGCGGATGAACAAGAACCTGAAGGCGAAGATTTAAACTCGGAGGATGTACGTTTTTTACTCAATATTTATTTTTTGGCTCTTTATTAATTAAAAATACTTATTAGGAATATGACGAAGAAGAAGATGAAGAAAATGATCGTCCAGGAAAGAAAAAAAAGAAGAATGAACGTTTTGGTGGTTTCATTATTGATGAAGCTGATGTTGATGATGAAGTCGAAGAAGACGAAGAGTGGGAAGACGGTGCCGGTGATTATGGTATTGTTGCAAATGAAGTAGATGAATTAGGTCCTACTGCTAGAGAAATTGAAGGACGCAGACGTGGAACAAACCTTTGGGAGTGAGTTTAGTTTTTAAATTGTCTTGTAATTATATAAAATACTGTATTCAAAGTATTACATAATAATATTTTAATTGGTGAGTTAATAATTATATGTTAAAATTTTAGCTCTCAAAATGAGGACGAAATTGAAGAATATTTAAAAAAAAAGTATGCAGACGCTTCTGTAGCAATTAAACACTTTGGAGATGCAGGCGATGAACTTGCTGATGAAATCACACAGCAAACGCTTTTACCAGGCGTTAAGTAGGTTATCAATTTTTGAATAAAAAAATTAACATTCAATTTAATTTAAATTAATTTTTAGAGATCCAAATTTATGGATGGTCAAATGTCGTATTGGCGAAGAGAAAAGTACGGCTTTGTTATTAATGAGAAAATTTATCGCTTATCAGTTCACGGATAACCCATTAAAAATAAAATCAGTGGTTTCGCCTGAAGGGGTAAAAGGTTATATATACATTGAATCGTACAAGCAGACTCACGTTAAGACAGCCATAGAAAATGTTACCAGCCTTAAAATGGGGATTTGGAAGCAACAAATGGTTCCTATTAAAGAAATGACTGACGTACTGAAAGTGGTCAAAGTTCAAACAGGTTTGAAACCGAAACAATGGGTGCGGTTGAAAAGAGGTACAACAACTTTTATTCTGTCTACTTTGAGTAAAATTGATTGTAATTTCGATCTGTTTGGTTTAAAGGTTTATACAAAGACGACATAGCTCAAGTAGACTATGTAGATTTGGGTCAGAACCAAGTGCATTTAAAATTATTACCAAGAATAGATTACACCAGGCCTCGCGGTGCGTTAAGGTCTTCAATGGTACGGGCTTGCACTCTTAATAACTAATGTTCTCGGGAATATTACATTCATATTTGGTTTTTTATTTTGTTATCATTTTAGGATTCAGAAGCTTTAAAAAGGAAAAAGAAAAGACGTCCAGCCGCCAAACCTTTTGACCCAGAAGCAATTAGAGCTATTGGTGGTGAAGTAACCAGTGACGGTGATTTTTTAATATTTGAAGGAAATCGTTACAGTCGTAAAGGGTTTTTGTATAAAAATTTCTACATGAATGCAATCTCAACTGATGGAGTTAAACCTACATTGTCGGAACTTGAAAAATTTGAAGAAACTCCCGAAGGCATCGACATTGAATTGCCTAATGTCAATAAAGATAGTTCAACGAACAGTCAAGCCTTAAGTGCAGGTGACAATGTTGAAGTTTGTACTGGAGAATTGATTAACCTCCAAGGTAAAGTGATATCGATCGACGGTGATATGGTTACTATCATGCCAAAGCACGATGATCTCAAGGTAAATGTATTTATTATAATTATTTATGTAACTCTAAAAGTAATTTTTTTTTTCATCATAGATGCCGTTGGAATTTACCGCTAATGAACTCAGAAAATTCTTCAAACAAGGTGACCATGTCCGAGTAGTTGGTGGACGTTACGAAGGAGACACAGGTCTTATTGTGCGTGTTGAACAAAATCGTATCGTGTTATTCTCCGACGTGACAATGCACGAGCTAGAAGTTTTACCTCGTGATTTGCAATTATGTTCGGATATGGCTTCTGGAGTGGATTCACTTGGGCAATTCCAATGGGGCGATCTTGTTCAATTAGAGTATGTATTTTGTATGTTCAAAAACTTGTTTTAATTTTAAATTTGTGTTGTCAATTATTTGTATTGTTTTAATCAGAATTGGCCGCAAATAATTTAAATAATGAATAAAAGTCATTAATCATGTTATTTATTCATAACTTTTTATTTTAAGTACTTATTCAAATGAAAATGATTTTAATAATGCCTATTTCTTATTTTAGTCCGCAAAATGTGGGTGTTATAGTGAGAATTGAACGGGAGAAAATGCACATACTTAACATGGCTGGAAAATTAGTTGAAGCAAAACCCCAATCTCTGAATAAAAAGAAAGAACACAGAAACACTCTTGGTGTGGACGCACTTGGCAATTCTGTGCAGAGGAAAGATGTTATTAAAGTCATTGACGGGCCCCATACAGTAATGACAATTATTTATATAGGCTAATTTATTATCATTACTAATTATAATTTATGCAAATAGGGAATGCATGGAGAAATCAAACATCTCTATCGGCACCATGCCTTTTTATACTCTCGTTTAATGACTGATAACGGAGGAATTTTTGTGTGCCGTCTAAGACATATAGCGTTGGCTGGAAATACAACTAATAAAGTAATTAACTTACATCAACCTTACATTACCTAATTTTTTATTGCTATGATTTTTGTTTTATACCATAACTTTTAATAGGCTATAACTGCTCCACAAAATGGATTCGCATCTCCACAAATCACATCACCTCGTCATACACCCGGCAGTCCATTTGGTGCTGGCGGACGTGGAGGTGGTGGTGGCGGCGGTGGAGGTGGAGGAAGTAGATTTGGTGGAGTACGCAGAGACCGAGACCTAATTGGTCAAACAATACGAATCACTGGTGGTCCTTATAAAGGAGCTGTTGGCATTGTTAAAGATGCGACTGAGTGTACGGCCAGGGTTGAGCTTCACTCATCGTGTCAAACTATATCGGTCGATAGGAGAAATATCACAATAGTTGGACAACAACAGAAGGATGGAAGATTAACATCGTCATACTCTAGAACACCTTCTAATGGCATGATGACACCTGGATATCGTGAAGGAGGCAAGACGCCTGTGCATGGCTCGATGACTCCTAATTACGAAGCTGGAAGCCGTACTCCAGCCTACGGAAGTATGACACCTTCCCACGATGGATCTAAGACGCCTACACAAGCTTGGGATCCTGCTGCAGGATACACTCCAGCTAGAGACGACGAACTAGAATATCCAATGGACCCTAATACACCCTATGCTCAAACACCAAACACACTATTTGGATCAGATCATTCGTATTCGCCATATCAAGCAGTATCACCATCTGGTAGTGGTTATACTAGTAAGTATACAAATTAATTTTATTGAATATTATTAAATTATTATTATTTATGGTTATCCTCATACAAAAAAAAACTTTTAATTTTGTCCAAACATTTTTTGAGCATTTCAAAAATATATTTTGCTATTTTAACAACATTTTTTTAAATCATTAACTCAGTTAGCAAAATGCATGTTTAAAAAAATATATGAAGCTTAAATTATTCCCTGGATAATGATTGATTGTTTGAAAATTCATAAGCGCCCAAATAAAATAGGATAGATAATTTTATATTATTAAAAAAAAAATTATTGTCGTATAGGAGAGTGAAAATAATATTTATAATAATACAATCATAAATTATATATAATAAATGAATGTCATTTATGAAATCCTAAATTTTTTCGCTGTTTACAAAATAAAAATAAATTTTAATATGCTGCGGCGCATATTAAATAAAGTATGCCAGCAATTTTGAGATTATTAACCTTTTATTTTAATGACAATTTAATTTGGGCTCAATTGTTATTTGGTAAAATGAACAATATTTGTCTGTTAAACAAATTAACCGTTTATATTTAAATTCTAGGCAGCGCTGCTAGTGTTCAGTATCATCCTGCACCGTCGCCTTCAGGTTCGTACACAAGTTTAATGACCCCGTCATCAGTGTCTTCTCCTGGGATCGCAGCTCCTTCTTTGTCGTCATTTGGTTCAAACTTCAATGGTACATATATCAGGGTTGTCTATAAAATGTATATACTAAAATTTGTTTGTATTTCAGGATTACCAGTGGGTTGGCACACTACAGACATTTATGTACGTATAGGAGATTCAGATTTGGCCGGACAGACAGGAATTATTAAAGAAGTGGGCGAAGCGATGTGTATATTGTATTTGCCAGACGAAGATCGAGAAGTGACAATTGAAAACGAAAATCTGGAGCCGATCATGCCCAAATTAAATGACTACATCAAAGTTTTGGCCGGTCAGCACTTAGGCAGAACAGGCAGTATGGTAGCACTAGAGGGCAGTGAAGCAGTAGTAGTAATGCCGGACGAAAAGAACCCAATGCTCGTTCCATTGTTATATTTATGTAAAGCAAACTAATTTTTTTTATAACTTATAAGGAATGTAAGAAATAAGTACGTAAATAAGTAATATGTACTAATAATTGCAGGTTTTTCTGTTAAGTATATAGTATTACTAAAATAATTATTGCAAACAATTATGTTCAATTTAATTATTGACAAAAACATTATTTTATAAACAAAAATAGGAGCCAGCGTACTTGTATCCAAATTGTATTTTAATTCTGATTTGTTTCCATTTTTTTTTAAGACTAAAAATATATTTAGTAATGAATAAAATTAGATTACAGCTACTATGGTTTTGTGTAATTTGTGTATGATTGACTGAAGTAATTGAATGTTTTAAAAAATTGTAACATGTAATAAAAAAAAAGACATTAATGATGTAGAAAAATAACCGTAATATTGTCTTTTTGATGTTCTAACACTTGACGTAGGTATCCAAGTTATTATTAGATACATTTGACTTAGATATTAACTTCTTTAGTGGATTAATTATCTTTATTATACTACTATCAGTATAGTTCATATAATTTTGATAAAAAAAATTATTAAAATTGGACAATACTCGTCAATACTGCACCAATAAAAGAAAACTGAAGTTATATTTTAACACAAAGATTTCAATAAAAATTACCTATATCAAACTGTTGAATTATCCAAATCCAAAATCCGGATATCAATTTTTATAAAATCGTGACCCGTAAAGAAGTCTATATAATATTTATAAACTAAACCAGGGGTCAGCAATAGAAGGGCGGCAGTGGACCGCCAAAAATATTTTACTGTTTTCAAATTATCCAGACCTCATTAGAAACAGTTGCCGATACCTGAACTAAACCTTATCGCTATATTAGTACTTAAAATCCAGCGAATACAACCGTCCGTTTGTCTCTAAATATTTAAACATGAGGTTTAGTTAAAAATAAACAGTCGGCACAGTTGTTGCGGTTATAAATGTTCAGAATAAATGCTTCGTTGTAAAAATTATTGTGTGGACTTTAAATGTTCTTATAATCGCATTTTTTGAATTTTCGCGTTTCCCAAAAATATTTTCCATCGCTCTACAGGTTCATGATATTTTCTTGATTTTTCATTGTATCTAATGAATTTTGCACGCAAATTGGGTACACGAAAAGTTAAAGCGGGCCGTAATTTTAAGTTGACGAATTTATAAGTCTTTCAAGAAGTCCTTCGTTTTAAGGGGAAGGGTTGAATATTTTTTCAATATTTGGCCTATTTACCTAGAGCGAGTCTATAGATATAGACTGACTACATAAAACTAGGTGGTAAAATAATCAAAACTATATCTATATATTTAACAGTTTCTGTCTACAACGGCACGCTGACGGCGACTAACATGTACCGCAGAACCGAGTACTGCAGGCTGAAGAAAGGAGCGTAGACCATGATCCACGCCAAGCCCAGGAGGCCGCACAGGACGACCATCTCAACCAGCAGCAACGCCACCCTGGCCAACCGTTCGTCGGGATTGCGGATCACGCTGACGGCGCACGTCTCGGCCAAGAAGAACTTCACGAAATTCACCGTCACGTTGAACATACCCAGCAGCAACAGCATGGAGTTGAGCACTACGAACACACTGTACACCGACTGCCACACCAAGTAACGGAAAGCGTTCAGGAATCCCACGTGCTCCGGACCTCTGTTCTGCTGGAACGCCTGGACAGTGCACAGGGCCGACCTGGCCAAGTCCAACGTGAACTCCGACAACTGGACCTGAACGTCGAACAAATAAATCAAAAACCCATTCACAAGTTTAGGAGGTCTAAAGCAATAAAAGAAATTGTTCTAGTTATGGTTTTGGAGGAGCCTAAGTCATTTAGCCCCTTGATTTCGATTTTCGCCTATGTTCCCCAACCGTAAATAGATGCTGGAACCGCCCTTGTAGTCAGCGTGGCCACTCTGACGCATGCATTGGCAAAACTTCTTATTGTAAACATTTTGGTTTTTGTTATTTTAAAATATTATAACACTACTAAATATGTAGAGTGTCCTATATCAACTTTTATGATAACGTATATATTTAATTAACCTTGTAAATTACGAATAATTTTGACATTTAAAATTTTAATTGGTCGATAGCCAGTTTTGGATAATCTCTTCACTTGCTTAGGAATGGAGGGGATAGAGAGCGGTAGAGTAATGTGCACAACAAAAAAAATACTACTCTCCAACCTTTCTCCCGTCTTGAATTTTAAACTTTACAACTTTGAAAGTAATTATCCAAAACTAGTTATCGACCATTCAACATTTTCGGAAAATAATTCTTAATTTAAAAAATAAATTCTATTTAGGTAATACCTACGTATCCTTTTATTTTTAAAAGTTAATAAAGAAAATAAAAAAAGATACAAAATGGAAAATGGTATATTGTAAAATAAGATAAATTACCCTCTAATTGCTAATTTTTTAAAGAAAAAAAGAATATCTTATTCTTAATGAATTACCTTGACCTCAGGCTCTGCGATTTCTATTTCCTCTACATAAAAAAACATATGTCCTAGGGACGTTTAAGTTATACTCGTATAATCGCCAATGACCCATTTAAAAACGCCTTTGTTATGACGTTTAGGAACCTTTATGTAGTTAATGTAGGTAAAAAACAAATTCCAATTATTTTCTCAAATTATCTGTGAGTAAAACATAAAAAATAAAATAATCCTACTAAAATATTAGTTTATTACTACAATTTTTACTTTTTAGTGAATAGAGTGTGATTTATTAATACTCGCTTAACAGAATACTATGCCCAGGACGATAGAAAGTTGTTCTTGGCCTTAGCAAATGTAAAAACCGTTAGTGTCAATATATTTTACCATAAATGAATTTACTGAATTCATTCTGCAAGTTTTAATAATTATTTTGCACTTGGCTCTCTTCCCCGGACATTAGATAATAACAGGTAAACGTTTATAACCCAAACAAATACCACACAAATAATAATAATAATAATTACAGACAATTGAAACTTACTTTTTCCTTACATCGAGACATTCAAACTCTTTTTAAAAAATATTAAAAACAATGACTAAGACATTTTACTCCAAAAAAATCATTTATTATTGACATCGGTACAGCGCAGTTTATTATTAAAGAGTAGGTAGGTGAATATATTGTATATAAATACATTTTTTTTTTGGCCAAATATATATTAGCCATTTAATACTTAATTTTACCAAAAGACAGCTATAACAGAAAACAGCAAATTAACTAGTAATAATTGAAATATTAGATAATTGGCTGAAACACCGTTACGGTCACAATGATAATAATTAATCGGTTCCATATATTTTTTTAAATAAATAATTTGATTATTTTGTTACGTTTTTATAACTATTATTGTCGACTGTGAATTGCTATTGATGAATTCAGATTATTTGAAGAGAAATGAGAGTGGGAGGTCAAGGTGTGCAACCGGCTTTCTTGCAAGACATTAATGCTGATTTTTGTTTATCCTTTTAATAAATAGCTTAATTAGTAGCCTATGCAATAAATCCCAAAACATTTTAGGTCCTTAACTAAACTCGTAAGTACTTTCTCATGATTTTGTTTGCATTTTATTAACATGGACAATTTTTCATTTTTCATTAAACAAATTCAAACTTGAAAATAGCTAAAATATGACATTTGAAAATCCTTCTTTTGATATTTATTGATAACAACCGTTTTTAACAAGTTATAATATCGTCAGATTTATCAGTTTCAATGACTGTAACTTATCCATATAATTATGTTTGAGATAACCAAAGATTAAACTGATGCATCAAAGCGTAACAAAGGAAATAACTTTGCGATCCGTTTATTGAAACGGTTGTATCTTTTGAACACAGAAATCGTATATTATCTTAAGCCCAAGGGACGAGTCGTGCAATCTTTGTGGCCTTTCGTTTCAGAGATCACACAATGGTTGTTTTAAACATATTGAATATTATTATCTCTGGCCGACCATCTAAAATGTTTAACAAACTCATATCGTTATTTGTGTCGACTAGATTGCTAACTAGAGGCCAACTATTTTGGTTTTTATACAGACTACTAATAAACATAATAGCTACGATACTATCATCGGGTCCATATTGTAAATACAAGTGCTTCAAGTTAGATACCTAGTATATATTTGTTTTTATGATAACGATGATGCCGTGCGTTGACAATAATGTTCTTAAGTGTCTTTAGTTTTGTTCAAACTTGTATACTTTATCGCAATTTAAAAACTAGCATATTTCTTTTAAATTAGACCGGTAATTTTCATGTCATAATCAACCTAATCTTGGAGAGAAAGTACGATTTGCAGTTGTGTATCCATTGAACTATGTACTTACCTATTCACCACTGATTACCAATAAAATAAAACTACAAAACATTAATTTACATAAAATATTTCAACACAATACAGTAAAATGATACCTTCTTATCATACATAAGTCCGAATAAGAATTGATTAAATTAATATTAGTGACGAGAACACAAAAATTCAGGGCTAGACGTTATTTATTAATTTGCACAAAAAAAGTTTCGTTTCAAAAGTTATACTCAAAAATAGTTATTAGAAGTTTTGAAATAAAAGTTACGGAAAACTATTATAAAAAAAATTGATAGGATCGATTTAGTAAAATAAATAATAATAATATATTCAGACAACTAAAAAAAACTTGTCTATGGAACTTTTATTTTATAAGTAGTGACAATATCTTTTTTAATACAAATAATTATATAAGTTGCACGAATTTGTTTTAAAATAAAACTTAAAATAACAAATAAATTATTAAAGTATAAATTTTACTTTTTTGAGAAAAAAAAAAAATTCAAAAAAATTCAAGTCTTGTAAACGTTTTAATTTTATTAAAAAATACGTAATTTTATTAATTTAAAATCCGTTTTAAACATTAGATATAAATACAATTTAATTATAAATATAGTTTTAATAATTTTGAAGTACAAAAAAAAAACAACACCAAGAAAAATTGCTACTTATTTCAAAATTATTACTATTTCTCTTTCAATCATTGTATCTTATCTTATACATAATATCAGGAGTGTAATTTGGTCCATTTTATTTATTATTTGTATATTGACCTTTTAAATGGCAAAACAAACATTGCGCAATTTTATTTTTTAAACCGACAATTTTTAAACAGCCCACAAACTATAAATCAGATGACTACAATCCCACTTGATTTTATTAGTTATAAATACATTTTAATTTTGCTATTGTGTTTTACTGTTAGTT